AAAATATATTAAAAATTCGGTCCAAAATGTAGTTATCTTAAGAAGTCACTTTCATAACCAACAGCATAACTTTTTGATGATGTATCTACTCAGTCGCTACTCAGGGGAGTAGCGACGTATCAATGATACAAGTACCCTGGCTACGGAGGCCCCTAACGTGTGGAGGCAAAAAATTTTACCCTCCATTTGTGTGTCCTAAATAATTTTGATACAGGGCCTCTCCAATGTACGATACACCACTAGTTCTATCATCCACACATTGGATCCACAGGTTGCTGTACCTCCACATCGGTGTGACGTTGTTCTTTCTGCTGCTGTCAGCGTGGCTCATAAAGGACATGTTATTGCAAGTGGCTGCATGGATCGCCACCATATTACCGGGTCTTCTGGGCACTATATGTACACAAATATTGACGTACCTCCAAATGTACTATTAACCGTGTAAATCGGAAGAAGGGTGTAAATTATTAGTAGAACAATACCATTGTCAAAATAACGAGCTGAGATGAATTTCAATATTTCACCGGGGAAGTTCCAATGACAGAACCTCACCTCTTACCCAAGGTCCAATGGGTGGTATACTGAACACGCTTCCTTTCGTTCAGTATAAAGTCGTATTCCTTTTTTTAAAAAATCACATACATTGCTCGGATTCTGTGGAGTATCTGAGACAATCAAGATACTTAACACCCCATCTCGAGACAGTATAAAAATAGAGTGACACCTTGATACCGGTATGTAAACTACTCGGCTACGGAGGTCATATAGCAGTAAAGTTGCAGTAAGTTACTAAATTAGATATCAGCTTATTCCAAAGCATAATGGGGTAGTTGACAATTTTGTGGAATATCTTTTAAAATATGTGATATATGTTTTCCCCTGTAAAGAAAAAGTGGTCATTGGCGGGGCATTGCAGGAATACATGAGAGTCGCTGGACAAGTACTTGAGTGGAGACCCAGAGCGTGGTAAACCACCGCAGCACTGGGTAGATGATATCCGACGCAACGGGGGTCGAGACTGGATGAGTTGAGCACAAGGGAATATTGAGCAGAAGGGAATAGGCTTATATCCAAAACTGAATAACCATGATAATGAGATTTTCCCCGCCAGTAGAAACTTTCGCTCTAACAATACATAGTTTCATAAAAAATATTTTTTTCTGATGACGCTTTAACTTCACGGTTACACATGAGATCACGTGAATTTTATTTGCGTCACGAGGTTAAAACTAACAATCTTCGGCATCATAAATATTTTTTGTCTATTATTGTATGGATATTTGTGCAAAATAATGATGATAAAAAAATCCAGATATACATCATCCTGACTTAACATCGAATGTTGCTACTTTAAACTTTTGTGATTATATGTTTTGGACTTCTTGTATTTTAATTATAAATAAATAATGTCACGTAATCAAATATCATTGTTTTATTTAAATTGGAACAAACATCAAATCCATTATCATAATAATCAACAGGCCATTAAATCAAAGCTGCATTATTATTTAAATTAGTATCAAAAAAATGATTCACAATAGATTTTTGGCACTAAGAGTCATAGAATACAAAATAGGGATGTGAAAAATTGTCATTGAAATAATAGATTTTATAAACGTAGAAATCGATTTTATTTTATTTTTTTAACAATCGATTAACAACCGATTTTTTAAATAATCATTCAATAAATTATTACCGATTTTTCATCTGCAACCCCTCGAATTTAAGTTTGGTATTTTGTCCCGGAGCCCGGAGAGCGAACTCTCGAAGAATACTATCTCCATAATATTACATTAACGCCATCTGTGCAACTATGATGCTATTTCTTCTGTGTTTTTGAAACAGTTCAGATGATTCATTTATTCAAACAATCATTTAATTCATTAGATGGAGTCAACGAACTGTTTTACTAAAATTTGATTTACATTTATTATTCGTTGGTGAAATTTCATTTTTCAAACAATATGGTTTTAAACAGTAAACAAAACAGATTGCGGGAAATTTTCTCTTTATTCTTCAATTTATTTTTATATTTTTAACTTATAAAACGAATGATACTTAAAATTTATTTCATAAATTATAACGAAAATTTTTCGTAACATAAAGTTTTTAGTTTTATTAAAAGTCTCATTTATAACAATGTGTACGACTTAAAGATTAAAAACGATAAATATCACAAAATTGATTATTTTCTGAAGAAAAACGATTATTTATTAATCGATGTTACATACTACAATAAAAACAGATTAATAAAAATCGATTTCAACAGCATTTTCTTATATAAGTCGCTTTTGAGATAAGTATTATTTATCAATTTTTTAAAGTGTTGAAGTCAGTTCTATTTTTTTTTAATTTTTATTATAACGACTGAAAGAAAAAAGTATCATTAAAGATATAACTCAGCTAAATCCATGACTCAGTGTGACTAACAAAGTTTATAACAGCAGATTCTGAAATAAAATCTTAATATTGCTGTCTTGTCAATAAAGTTCTGCTTTTTTTGTCAGAGTCCAAAAAGTTAGATGTTTTAAAGTTATTGGTATGACAAGATTGATTTAATTCGGTTATTTTCATAATGTAATTTTGAGAATATAAAAAGGAGAGTAGAAGGCGCCATATAAGCACCATTTACTATTAATATTAATATAGTATGGTAACCGAATTAATATGGTAACCAAATTAACGAAATTATAAAAGTAAACACGATAATTATTTATATTATGATGGTTGACATTCAGTAAACGCATGGTATATTTGCTCCTTAGTTCTGCAGTATAGTATGCTGAACAATTAGCTTTTGCTATTTTCATATCGTAATGTAATTTAATTATGACATGGATGTGATAATTACAATTAACTTGTGCTGTTTCGATATTGTAATGTAATTTAATTACGCCGACGTCGTTGTGATAATGACAATTAACTTCTGCTGTTTCCATTTTGTGACGTAGGTAATTTAATTACGACATAGATATGATAGTGACTATTAAGTTCTGCTGTTTTCATATTGTGATGTAAATTGATATAACGACCTGGATGTGATTCGCTCAGGAATGTAAACTGAAACGATTATAAGTTTACCTTTTAAAAACTATTAAAATTATTTTCTAGTCCTAGATTGCTAAAATGAGATCCAAACCCAAGTGACTACTCTTACCAATTGATGTACCCGGGCCCTGATGAGCTTAAATTAATGAAAATATGTATATAACAGTGACCTCGTTTATAATAGGTTATGAGATGCTACCAAATATTACAGAGTTCTCATAAAAAAAATCAGTGCTCTCCAAATGCAACATCGGTCCACGACACTTACCAATGTATGCCTTATATTTATTATTTAAATAAAAAATGTTCATAGTAACACCACAGCCAAGAAAGGGCATTGACTCTGAAGGGCACCCTAAGAAGCTGTCACAGAGACTTGACCCTAGATTTGTTGTTGACAAAATATATACATTTTTACCTTCTCTACTGTCAATCAATTATTACTTTTTTTTAGTTTGTGAATCCATTTTAGAGATCACCGGCATTATTAATATATTTTAATGGTTAGGCTGCTATCAAACCAATTCAACAAATGTTGTCTTTTTTTTATGGCTAAAATGTATGAAACAACTAATAATGTACATAATCTCTTTCTCCCGAGTCACGACGCAGCTAGATTCAAAATTTACGATGTGGTCTCTAGTCACACTAGAAACTCTCAAGCTCGAGAGTCCCGATGAATCTAGGGCAGGTCTCTCTTTCAACAACAACTAACTGGTTAAGTATGTATACAGGTGGGACTGCACAATTAAAATAATTATGAGTCGTCCTGACATAAATGGCTTACGATCGCGAACACAAACAAAACAAATCTGTAATTAATACAAATATATATATATATATGTTTGTAACACAAACAAATATGTTACAATATTTTTAAATAAATAATTTATAGGTATAATGTACATAATAGGTATAACGTACATAATAAAATATTTTCTACGAGAATTGTACTGGAAAAAAATCTAGAGAACCCTCCCAGAGATTAGATAAGCAATAATGTTTGAATTTTGTTTACTTTTTTACACATAAAGAAATAGAAACCAAGTAGTACCTTTTAGTTTTATATGTAAAGCCAAAAGATTGATAGGTACTGCAATAGAACATTCTAGTGAATCTATAACTTTACGTATATTTTTATACCACAAGAAGGTAATTATATGGAAATATTATTTATATCATTAATATCAAAGTTTAAGACAATGTTAAAGTCAATTTTGTAACTAATATACCTACTAACTGTCCTCACATATAATCTAAGAAACATAATTATATTATAGTGATAATTTATATAAATTTTTGCTTAAAATAGAATAATATCTTAGCATTTTTTCATCTGGAGGCCAAAGAGATTCGTAATTTGTAAATAATATTCCAAGGTTATAATAGCTCTCAAAACTCGAGATAGCTACTTTCAAAATTAATGCATTAAAATTAAAGCTTTTAATGGTTGGACTTGTAAATATGGAAATAAATCTAAATATAATTATTGTTGTGTCATTTGACTCGCACTAAAACCGTCGAAACTACGAATGTTATATATTATATATGAATAATGTGTGCGTGAAAGGGACAGGCACTAGGGAATAAAAGGACTGGTAACCGATCTAGAACTTTTTGGTAATGCTTTAAATACACCGGTAGCGCCGAGGCTAACCTAGAACATTATAGACGTGGTATAGACCCCTATAAATTCGCTGCCAATGCATAGTAAATATTTTTCTCGACATGTCTCAAACTAGTGATTACGTTACATTTATATATTTACATAAAATTATATTATAAGTTTTATTTTTCTTTTATTATTGGAAACGATAATAAACTAAATATTAATCTAAATGAATATACTGTATGCCAAAAAGTTAGTTCATTCTCTATTAAGACTCCAAATAAAGGAAAGAAAAATTACCTGCTTTTCGGCAATCGACAGAATTGCTATCCCGGAAGTATCAAGATTTTTCAATATTTATTTATTAACTTGCATATAGTCACAAATAAATAAAATTGTAAAAATTTTAATGAAGTATTAGGTAATAAGTATAATGAAATATTGGTTTAACAGTGACTTGGTAACATGACGTCTAAGATGGACAGCAAGGATGGCATCAATATAGCGATCATACCACAGTTCTACGCGGGTAGAGAGGTGTTTATCACTGGAGCCACTGGATTCGTCGGCAAAGTCAGTACTTTATATCTCTACATGGTAGCAATTCCGTAGTTAAGTATTATTCTAAAGTAAATGAGAATAATGATTTAAAATAACATTAAGTGAGACTCTTTTGAATAATAATAATCGCAAAATTTATTATTATAAATCGGTTTTGCTGTCAAATTACTTGGTATCTGTCGATTACAAATACTTCCGTACCTCCAGATTCACGCTTCAAAGACTCCATTGACATATGATATCAATAGATTCAGTATCCATAGTCGCTGGTCGAATATCACTTTCTCCGTATCATCAGTGGCGTAGCTACCAAGGGGCTAGGCGGGGCAGTGCCCCGGGGCCCTCAAGCTCAGGGGGCCCTCGAATCTTTATCAGAAAATCTCAATCGAACTCAACTTTTGAAAATTTTTCCCATTTTCAAAATAAATATGACAGGTGACAACTCGAGTTTAATCATGGCAACTCAGTTGTAAGAAATTCCAAAGTTATAAAAAGGGAATTTCCCTAAATTATTTGTGTGGGTTGACAGTGTTATTAATGTTTTCATCAATTTGTCGGATATCAATATCTGTATTTTATTATTTATTGATATGCGTTTTTGTGATTCGCGATTGTAAACTTCGAGTCAAGATTTTTTTTCGAGGAGTGGGCCCCATTTTTTTGCCCCAGGGCCCTAGGTTAACTAACTACGCCACTGCGTATCATGCTAATATTTATAGGCATACCCAGATCCTATGCCAGGGGGGGTTAGGACAGAGTTCTGGGCAGCTAATTGGGAAACAATGTTTTAGGTTTAGGTTTAAGACGTTTATTTCTCAAAAAGAATTACATATATTCACTTACATGACAAATACAAACATATCCATAATGCTCTACTGGTAGTACAAAATAAAAAATAGGTACGCACACAGTCATATCGAAAATCTCTTATAATAAATAAAAATCACTTGATTGACAAAAAAAAAAGAAAAAAAGAAACAAGAACTAAAATAATTCAGCACCACACAATTAACCAATTACACAATTATATCACTCTTAAATTTGTTATTTCATTAATATATGATAAGTAGAACAATAAGTTGATTCTATTACGTATCGTATACATTGAAAGCAAGTTGAAAGATAGAAATTCAATCCTATTACCGTAATTATTAACTGGTTATATAAAATAAAACATATGTAGTCAAAAATAGATAAAATAATATAAAACTATTTTTTCAATAATAACTACCATTTATGCCGAAAAAATCATACATCACAAAATTTCCAAACAATGATCCAGATAATAGCTTCAATTTAAGTTTATATGAACTAAGAGATTTTATATTTTTTATATCGTTTGGTAATTTCTTGTACAGTTGAGCTCCTTCGTAGGTTATTTTTTTTTCCATTATCTGTTCGAGGTGATGGTATTTGTATGTCATTAGGCCACCATAAAAAACGTTTATGTAAATTTAATTTTGTTTTAAATGACAATTATATACATGTATTATATTTATATATTTGAGACAATGGCATCAAACCAGTTTTTTAATATATCTCAATAGTTGGAGTCAAATAATCAAAGTGACATAGCAATTGAATAATTTTGTTTTGTGCTATTTGTAGTTTTTAAGATTTTTTTTTTTTGCTGCGATACTAAGCGGGACCTCTACTAGGTAGTTAAGATGAAATTTCACAAGAGAATTGTGTATGGTTTATCGAACGGCCTTAGGAAAATAACGTACGTTGCCTCGGAGTATGGATATAAGTGCTGATAATTTTGCACAAATTATGTCAATATAATTTTTTCACGTGAGGTGAACTCAGTCTTCACTTGAATTAGTGGAACATTGTTTATAGTTAAGAAACTAAAGGTAGAGACTTGCTTGTCCCTAGTTGAAAAAATTATGTAACTAGTTGTAGCTATGTTTAATGTTAATAAATTAGCATGGAACCAGAAAAATAATCTATCCAGGTCCTCCAGAGCCTCTCTCATCACAGAAGCAATATCAACAACTAAATAAAAAAGGGACGTTTCATCAGCATATAATGAAACCTCACCACTCAAATTCAACCCACTAATACCGTTCATGTAGGCCAAAAATAGCAAAAGACCTAAAATAGATCCTTGAGGAACACCATACGTCATTGATTCAGCTGAACTTTGAATATCACCCAATTTATCTATTAGAAAGGTAAGATTGGAGCATATCAAATACAGCACCCTTTATACCAATCAAGCGCATTTTCTGTAATAAGAGATCATGACTAATTGTGTCAAAGGCCTTTTTAAGGTCAATAAACACCCTCAAAGCCAGCTGCATCTTATCAAGTTTGATATTAGTTGTAAGATCAATCCAATCGGCAAGAGTACTGGATCTAGAGCGAAAGCCGTATTGTTTGTTCGAGAGAAAATTAATGGAGTTCATGTAAAGTTCTAGTTGACTATTAATAACTCTTTCAATAACTTTAGAGATTATTGTATGTTTACCTCTTCATATAACACATTTCATAATCGTTTCTCTCCAGGTGTTGGTTGAGCGACTGCTATCCACGTGTCCTGACATTTGCCGTCTACACCTGTTAATAACAGTTAAGAGGGGTGAATCACCAGAGGCGAGACTCGACAAGCTCAAGAAGTCTCCCGTACCTACCTCAATATACCTATATAGTTTATAATTTCAACTTAATGTTACCAAACTAAAAGATACAATATACTAGTCACAAAGTCTATGATAATAAAATTAGTGCGTGACCGAAAATTCGGTTTCGGCTTCAGTTCCGGTCGAGTTTCGGCAAAAAAACGGGTTTCAGTTTAATTTCGGTTTCGGTGGCAAACCTGCCAAAACCGAAACTGCATTCGGGGGTCTCGTACTCTGATCGGTAGGTTTTATGCGACGTTCGTTTTGTTTGTTGTGAGCTTTTGTGGGATGTTATGAGGTTTATTTTAATTCAGTAATTTCTGTAACATGATATAGGGAGAGTAGATAATAAACATCGAAAAATAATTATTTTTAAGAAACTAATCCATTCTATTAGTATTATAAATGTGTAAATGTGTTTGTTTGTACGTCTTTCAAGTCAGAATGGAGCAATAGTTAAGTGTGATTTTTTTTGGGTGAAGATAGTCGAAGAGCTGGAGAGTAATATAGGCTTCCTTTTGTCTCTTTCTATTCCCCTACCCCCCAAAATAGGGGGTGGAAGTTTTTATAGAGAATTCCACAATTTTCAAGGCAGAAAGATAAATCTGTCCCCATTCCTTTAAAGAGGGGGTTAAATTTTGTATTGGACTTTCCGCAGTACGATATGTATTTGGTGAGAATAAATTAAATTTTATAAAGACATAAAATAATTAATAACTTATGTATTCCAGATATACGATGTCTTACATAAAAACAAACCAGACCAGCTGAAGAAATTGAGCTTAGTCCACGGAGATTTCAATGAAGTTGACCTCGGAATCACCGATAAAGCTATAGATGCTCTCAGAGATGTAAGCATTTCAATTTTTATTTTAATGAAGAGAGTAACTGATATATTGGCACAGAACATGTGTACCGAAACGAATTAATGTAAAACTTTTTAGAACATATTTTAATAATGGTTTTATTAATTCTAAAACTCACACCACGCTTGAAACAAAAGTTATTTGGTCATGATTAATTTATTGTTGAAGGTATCGATAGTGTTCCACCTAGCTGCATCGGTCAATATGGAGGAAAATCTACTCACGGCGGTGAAAGTCAATACTATAGCAACCATGGCTTTGTTGGATATCTGCCATCGGTTACCGAAAATAGCGGTATTATAAAATAATATCATCATTATCATCAGCCCTTTACGTCCCCACTGCAGGGCCCAGGCCTTCCTTATGGATGGTTAAAGAGGCTAAGTCATTCACAATGACCCAATGCGGATTGGATGATATTAACGACTGCAAATTTAGCCGGGACCAACTGCTTAACGTGTGTTTTGAAACATGGAGCAGCTGAGATAATAATTTTTGGTCACCAGTTAAAAATTTACGAAAAGGTTAATATTTTTTATTGGCCGATGGATTGTCTACCAGTAATCCAAAAATTTTATATACTTTTAAGCATAATTTCATTTAACTATGACTAAATATAAAAGGATATTGGGAATTCGGACAGGCCTTTATCCACGTGTCTACAGGATATAGTAACGCAGAGCGTACTCTGATAGAGGAGACGGTATATCCGCTTCCACGCCCACTCGACACTATGATTGAAGAATCGCTCAAGGGAGGACAAATGACCTTAGATGAAATCAAGAGGTGACGATAATTCACTACCTATATATTACATTACTTTATTTGAAATATTTGTCATCTTGGAGTGATTAGCTACAAAGGCAGCGGAGTTCCTTATTATTCTGAACAGGTACATACATGCACTTGTTTAGATTTATAGTACTGGCAACTGAATGGTACAAAAATATAATGGCATATTGTGAAATAATAACCAATATATGTTATTTGCAGAAATAAGATATTATCATATCATCTTTCCAAAAATAAAAATTACTAAAGAATGCATCGTCAAATCTAAAAAAAAATAGTATAACAGTCAATTTATAAATAGCTGCAACAATAAATATAAAGCAACTTGAATAGTTATAAAATATGAAATTCGTCATAAGCAATTCAATGACATCTCCTCAATAAATTCTAATTGCATCGAAATTAAAAACCACCTGGAAAGCCACACAAATGTAATAATTATTTCATTGTCATATCAAATGACGCTACAAATATTAATATAACAAATAGTACAATTAACAATAACACGATACCAAATACGATATTTTTAAAACCAATGACACATTATGAGATGAGAAGGAAATATTGACATTAAAGAATACAAACTCAGAAGGATGTGATGGAATTAATACAAAAATTATTAACCTAGTATAAACGAAATTATAAATATCTTGACACATTCAGTAAATCTATCCTTTTAGTTTGGCATTTTTCCAGATGCATTAAAATTGTCAGTAGTAAAACCACTTTATAAAAAGGGTGATAAAGATGACGTTAACAACTAGAGCCCTATTACGATATTTTCGAAGAACTTTTAAAAATGAAAGTACAAAAGGATGGTAGACTTCTGTGATAAATTAGTACAATTTGGTTATTAGTAAGTCAACCATGTTAGCCTCTTTTACACTTTTTTAAACAATATTGACGAACTTAAATAATAATTGCCTTACGACAAGCTTATTCTTTGATTTATCTAAGTTTGATTTATTTTGTTTCCCATTCCTCAAGGAAAAAAGGCGTTCTTTAAGGAAGTATTTTGGGACCTGTATTATTTTTGCTTTATATCAATGACTTTATCAACGTGACAAACTATAAATATAAGTGCATTTTGTAAGCTGATATTATTTCAATATTTGTTAATAATAATCCAATGTTGGATCATGAATTTGATATAAATAATACTGTTGACAAGGTAATAGAATGGCTAGAAAACAACAAATTGACAAAACATTTAAAGAAATCAGTTTTTGTTCAATTCAATATTATCAAAATATACTAAATATACAGGTAATTTTAAACTAAATATTAATTAAATCAAACAAGAACCACATACACAATTGTTAGGTGTTACTATTGAAAAAAAAATTAACTGGAAACAAAATCTTGACAACACAGGTAATAAATAAATAAAACCTTATGCACTGGGTCATGTTGTGAAAGTAACAAATAAAAAAACAGCTGTTATATGTAATAGGGCTTACGTGGAATCAATATTACGCTATGGTCTTGTAACGGGAAACAGCACAGGAGCCTTCATAACTCAAAAAAAATGTATACGAACGAACTGTAAAACTCCACCCGATGAATGTTGTCGGGAATCATTTAAACAGCTTAGTTTATTATCGCTATCGTCATTATATATATTCTAGAAATCTGTAACTTTGTACGAAAATAAATACAAACATTTCTTAAAAAAAGGTAAGGATATTCTTAAATCTAGACAGCGTCGAGAACCTTATAGACTTGTATTTAATGTTATTCCAAAATCGGATGAGTTTGGGAAAAGTTATTTGGCTATGTACATTAGGGTGTATAATAAATTTCGAAATAAATTGAAATCATTATCAGCTGGATTGTTTAAAAGAAAACTATATGCCTTGCTCAACTGGCTCAATAATTTTTATAGTATTAACGAATTTTTGATTTATGCAAATAGTTTGGCATTGTAATTTTATTTCATTTTTGTTAACTATGACATGTAATACCAATGCATTTTAACATAATAAGAATGTGATAATTATTATTATTACTTAGATTATTTTTTATTCTCGCTTTATTAGATTCCATTGTACTGTTTTCGAATGCTATTTGACAAAAGCCAAACATGTGGATATTATGCGACTTTGACACCTTTATACCATGTTTCAGGAAAATAAACAACTATTACTTTTATTATCATCAAACAACATTTAATTTTGAATAGTCTCGTCATGATTGATATGTTATTATTATTTACAAACTAACTTAAATATTTGTAGTAGAATAATGCCACTTCAATAAATTTTTGTTGGTTCCCAGGTTTGTGTCCCCAAAACCAAATTCTTATATTTTCACGAAGACATTAGCGGAGACTGTGGTGAAGGATCATGGGCACAGGGGTTTCCCAGTGGCTATTTTCAGACCTACTATGGGTATTTACATAATATATATAACCTAAAACCTATTACTAAAGCCAAACCGAACACGTTACATCTTAGCTTTAAAAGGATATAAAAACTGTCGAACATCGCGGATATTTTGCTATTAAGAAGATTAAAAATTTAATAACATTAATACTTATGTTTCGTATCGTGATCCTTGACAGTTAAGCAGTTCCCTGGGCTTTGTACAATCGCACTGTAGAAGGACGTAGTAATGGCTACTCAACGTTTAGCCATGCAAATGAATGGCGCTATTATATAATATTATAGAAAAATATCCGGCGACGGCTACTAGATTGTTGTTGGATGGCTAGAAATGCTACCCAAAGTAATTATATCACGTGGATAAAAGCTAGTTTTTAATAAAACTGTCAGATGGGTACTAATAAATTGTAGAGAGGAAAGATTCGATATTTTGTTTTTTGTTTATACATATAGCTAACTTTAAAAACAACTGGACGGCTTTTAAAAATTCTTACTACAATAAAAAAAGGCTACATTATTAGTCTGTATTATCCAGGCTATATTTAATTAACCGACTTCAAAATCCAAAAGGAGGAGGTTATATATTCGACGGCGATGTATGTTTTTTTATATATGTTCCGCTAATTGTTGACTGATTTTCAAAATGCTTTTTTTTATTTTTATTTTAATATTTTGATTCTAATAGAGGTGAGTTATATTGCGTTGATGGAGTAATATTTGAAAATAAACAAATTGTTATTCCCTCAGCCTTGAAATCAGAAATGTTAAAAAATATTCATGAAGGGCACTTGGGAATAGACCGTTGTAAGAGGCGCGCGCGGGCATCAACAGAGATATTGAAGTTTATGTAAAAAAATATAGGATATGTCAGGAGAATTCAAATAAACCTGCAAAACAACCGATGATACCGATCTCAATATCTGATTTACCGTGAAACAAAATTGATACTGATCTGTTTTAATATAGAAAGAAAAATTGTTTAATTTTAGTGAATTATTATTCAGGATTTATAGAAATTTCACAATTAAAATATTCTACAGCGTAATCAATTATAAAGGTCATGAAAGAAAATTTCGCTCGTTACGTTATACCAGAAGTAGTAGTAAGCGATAACAGGCCGCAATATTCATCCCGTAGTTTTTATATATCTGCCACTAAATGGGGATTCGATCACGTTATTTCATCTCCATATTATGCTCAGTCTAATGGAAAAAGTGAGAGGACTGTGCAAACTGTTAAAAAGATTAAAAAAAAGTCAAATGATAGCAAATCGGATTTATACTTGAATTTGTTAAGTTATAGAAATACACCTCGCGATAATTTGGATTCTACAGGCAAAACTTATGATTGGTCACAAATTAAACTGTAGACTTCCGGTTCGTCCTGATTTATTACAGAGATATAATTGTAATGATAAAGAAACACTCAAAATATTATTAGATAAGCAAAGAAAAAGTAAATGTTATTACAATAAACATTGTAAACCATTGCCAGAATTAAATGTCGGCGATGACGTCATTATGAGAGAAAACAATAAAATAGATGAGGTATTTATCGTCGTAATCGCCGGCATTTAATTAAAACTTTCCTAGATCAGTCTGAAATGTCTAATATTGAAAATACTACTAATAAAACCGATGTTGCCGATCATAACAGCGATGGGGACTATCGTGACATGTCAGACGATGAGTTTGTGCCTGCTTACGGGCAAATTTCTGGCACCAATTTACAGGAAGATTTAGCTTTAAAGCTAAAATAAGACTATAAATTATACTTGGACTTATACTATAGTCTTAAATAAGACTATAGTATAAGTCCAAAACGTTTAGTTAAGTATAAGTATAACGGTATATGCAAGGTGTTAAGTTAATAGTTATATTGTTTTTGCTGTTTGTTTTTTTTTACCTCATTGAGAGCATATTTTCATAAAAGGGGAATATGTGGTTGGTTAGAATATATGTTATGTGCGGTAGGTGTGTATTTGAATAAACAGTTGTTTGACAAACTCTATTATTAATGAATAACATATATTCTAACTACCCACACTATTTTTTATGAAAATAAGTATGTCAATCGATTTCTTCTTGACTTGTGAACAAATTTCTATCAAACTAACAGTTTCCGAGCGACTTCGCCTGCGTCAATTATAGCCTACGTCCAGCGCGTATTATGTAGCTTCCCGTAGGTTTTCAAAATTGGCCCAATAGTTTCGGAGGCTATCCAATGCAAAGAAACAAGCAATCAAATCTTTCCTCTTTATAATAGGAGTATAGAATTATTAAAAAATAGTCGAGCAAATAAACAAATTCTTCTTTTCTAATACTTTTACTTTGTTGAATATTTTTACTTATATAGATCTATATCTATACTAATATTATTAAGTAAATTAAATTAGTTGTTGTAATTATATCCGTGTCATCGTTCCCTAGGGACCACGCCGGCGAAGCCGCTGTAAAAAGTTTTAATATCAATATCAATATAATAATATCAATATCACTAAAAAGCATGAAATAAAAACTAAAAAAAAATAGAACCGACTTTCAACTTTAAAAATGTGATAAATGTTACTTCAAAAGCGACATATACGAGAAAATGCTATTGATGTCGGGCGCCTATCATTTAAATAATAATCCTACAGAAGATCTCCGCCCGACTTCTTGAATTAGTCTCTTCTTTATCACTTTTTAAAAAAGTGATAAATAAAACTTTTAAGTGATAAGTTCAAAAACCGATTAATTAAAATTATTAAACTTATCACTCAAAAGTATTAGATTTTAAATTATAACGTTCACATAGTAGTAAATTCCTTAAAATTGTAATTGGACTTGCAGTGTCAACATCCCTTCGAGACCCATTTACCGGCTGGGTACAGGACTATAATGGACCGATAGGCACTACAGTAGCTACTTTAAAAGGAGTGATGCGTGTAGTGAACTGTAATGAAGATTTACGCGCAGACTTCCTACCTGTTGACATTTGCGCGAACACACTCATCACTGTGGCTTGGGAGGTGGTTATAGATAAGTAAGTGTATAAACACAGTCAGAAACTTTTAAGTGTTATTTTGAAATGATCTAACTTGAAAATTATTACAAGACCAAACTGATTGTTCTGTAATGTGTAATGCATAGCTCTATGTAAATTAAAAATTCGTGTATTTAAAAATAACGGCCAGTATATATTTTTTTATGTTTATGGGTACTCAAAAAGTATATAATTTTGTAGCAACTTTGTGAACAAATACAACACTGGTTTTCTTGACGTGTTCGATCCTTAATTGAATTAATAAAATCATACTAATGAAGAAATTGATAAAACGTTTTGCCTTTTGTAGAGGAAACACGAGTTGTTTATGAATTCATTGTTGTATTAAACCGTTCTATAATGACTACAGCCCCTCAGACCTCCGCGTATACAACTGTAGCACCGGAGACAATCCGACCACCTGGAGAGAGTTACGAGAAAACATATTAGAAGAGATCAGAGAGAATCCCATTCCTAGCATTATGTGGTATCCATCTTTGTACATGATAACAAATAGGTAAGATTTTTTATAATAAATATTTAACCACCTAATGAAACACGTACTTAATATATAATAAAGGTATGATCTGGTTTAAAATGTGGACTAAGTCAAACGTTAAATTAAAACAAAGTTTATCAGTAATACTGATTCGCAACCTCTATGAATCTAGATTTGGTACAGTGACCACTGGAGACGTTACTTTAAATCGTTTCAAGTTCCAAAAGGGAGTGAGACAGGATTGTGTGATTTCACCAATCCTGTTTAATATTTATGGTGAGTCTATAATGCGCCAGACGCTCGAAGCCTGGAGGGGTGGAGTCAAGATAGGTGGAGTGAATATCTCTAACCTCCGATTTGCGGATGATACCACATTATTTTCATCTTTCGAAGCAGAAACGGCGGAGATACTCAACAAGTTAGAAACCGTCAGTGTAAGAATGGGCCTCGCCGTCAGTGTAAATAAAACTAAGACCGAGGTCATGGTCATAGACCGTTTTTCAACGTGTCCCAACACTAACCTCCTGCATGGATATGAGACCGTGGGTCTCATATTCAGTAAAAAGCTATAGCTGGGCTCCGTAATCACAAAAAAGGGCATCTGTGAGCCGGTGGTGCGAAGAGGAATCGGCATGGGAACAAAAAAAAATACACCAAGTCCGTACACTCGTCTTCTCCATATTTCTGTATGGTGCCGAGACCTGGATTATTAAAGCGGCTGATAGACAGAGAATCGACGCGTTTGAGATGTGGTTGGCGTCGTATGCTGAGAATACCATGGACAGCTTACCGCACAAATATCTCTATCTTACAACAGCCTAAATTAAAGAAAGCACAACGTCTATATTCAACCTGCCTGGAACGCATACTACAATACTTCGGCCACGTTGCTCGTCGAGATACCGATAACCTGAAGCGCTTGATGGTTAAGATGAAAATATAGGGGAACAGACCCAGGAGCCGGAGCCCCAAACGTTGGTCAGACCAGATCTCGGAGGTACTTGAGATCCCGGTCAGTGCTGCACTCTATGACTCTTGTTTAACTATGGAAAAACTTCGGTTTTATTGTCAAATTTTATTTCTTTTAAATGATTTTTATACATTTAAATTAGCAAAACATTACTTTACGTATATCACTTACTGAAAGTTCGATTTTTTACTAAATTTATGTTTAGAACTACATTTTCCACTATTTCCTATTTATATTATTTTATTTATTTAGTCAAATAAAATAAAACAAAATATTTACATTTGTGTTTTTGTATAATTTTATAAACAGTAAAATTCTCTTATTGCACAGATGAAAATTTGTTCTAACTGTTATAATATAATATATTTGATCAATTATGCTATACAATAATGCTATACTGAAAAATATTCTTAGTTAATTTTTTTAAGCATTTTTCACCAAGAATATTTTTCAGTATAGCATTGTGAATGCGCAATTGATCAAATATAATAATTAACTGTACTTTAAATTAAAATTGATTAAATAAATTTATGTGATCTTAATTTCAGATACGTGTTTAAAGTTGCGGCACTTTTCTTAGAAACGATTCCATTGTACTTCATCGAGCTTTTCATGAGAATTTTTGGCAAGAATAAAAAAAGGTGCGGTTCGTAATATACTCTATAACGTATATAAGAACTCGACTCTCAATAAAATTCAGTTATTTTATTTAATAACACTTAATTCGTCCAAGTAGGAACGCGCGAAAATTAACAGAAGTTAATATATATCGAGATCTTTTTATAGCGCAATCATACTATCCTTTAAGTCTGCTTATTAACATTCTCTCCATGTTACTAATCTTAGGATATCATCATTATAATTAGGCCTTTTATGTTCCCACTGCAGGGGCTCAGCCCTTCCTTATGTGGAATGGTTAAGGAGGATGGGCCATGACCCTCCATGCTGGCCCAATGCATATTGCAGGATATGAATAACTACAAATGAAGCCGGAACCAACGGCTTAACATGGCTTCCGAAGCACGGATTGTCCCGTGACAGACACTTGCGAAATTTGCTTCATTACGGAGCTACTATTCAAGCTTACAATACAATATACGTAGAAATTCGTTTGCAGGTTAAATCTGATAAAGGTAAATAAACGTCTGGTGGGTATGCGAAATGCGTTAGAGCACTGCTCCACACACGAGTACTGGTACACCACCAACAATGTCCGTAGGCTGCGCGCTCGCCTCACACAAGCAGACGCCGCCATCTACAATATTGAACCAACTTCAATATGGTGAACAATCATAAATTGTTAACTTACTACAAAAAAGCAAAAGCTAACTAAATTATTTTATAATTAATTATTTCTACCACATGACATATATTGCGAGTGAAACTAATGCTTAGAATGTGGTGTATGAAATAGCAATATGATAATAATTAATACAATAAAATATAAACGCCTAAAGTATTTCACTATCTTTGTTAGTTTGCTTTCATAAAAAAGAAATTAAACTTATTTTGCTCTTTAGAAGTCAAAAGTTATGTATTCAACGGCAGCTTTTGGTCAGTTTCTTATCAAATATGTATAAAAATTTATTTAAATCTACATAGTTGGAAAGATTACTTCAAGAGCTACGCGAGAGGCATCAAAAGACACTTAATCGGAGATAAGGAAGCAGGCACACCGAAAGCCAAGAAACATCTCGAAAGGTAAATGTTTATTTGTTATACAATTCTGTGACATTGCCTCATAACTCATATAAAAATACACTGCGTTTATAATTAATAAATACTGTATCCTGTGATTTGTGGTCGGAAAACAAAATATTTTCGTTTATCGCTTTGAAAAGGGAAATATTATTTACCCAATCGAAACTAAAAGCGAAGATTCAAAAGTTATATTTTAAAGACTACTATTGAGTTGGCTTACTTTAATATGGCTGTCTGTTATAAAACTACTTTTATGAATATGTTTACTCGATAGTCAATTGTGAACTCTTTGGCGCCGTATTCGAACCTCCATTGACTTTATAAGTGCACGTTGGTTCTCAGATTGCTGCACATTCACACCTTTGTGTCGCTGTTCTTACTGCTGCTGGCAGCTTGGATCATCATACACGTGTTAGTAAGAGTGGCTGTACCGTTCGGGAGCATATTACCGGGACCACTCGGTACCATTTTTAGAGGGTTACTGGGATACTTCAGAGATAATTTTTTTCTATAAGTCCAGTGACCAAAAGTTATTTTCAAATTTCAACTGAAACTAAAATATTAAAAATTGTGAGTTTATCATAACTGATTGGGAAAGTTTGTAATAAATGTTCATAGTTAATACAATTGTATATTTTGTTCTTTTATATTTTGTTTTTATTAACACAGTCACATTTGTAAAAAGTTATGTATTTTATAATTTAATAATACAATTTATTATATAATATTAGAACAAATTTTATTTTTTAACCCTTTTTAGTTTCGCCATGTTCATCTGTCCGCAATTTAGCTCAAAAATTATTGGTACCTACTAGAAAGTTGTAATTTGGCATTAAAAAAAAAGTTATCAATTTTTGACATCTTGGACCTTATTGAAGTTATAAACCATTCAAATTTAAGCTACTTATAAAAGGAGTAAAAATTAACTGACTTATTAAATTGACCTTCTTTTTAACCAAATTCATAAAAATAAAGTCGCCAGTTCGTCTTTAACCGACCTTAAAAAAAATGAGGTTATCAATTTGACTTGTATGTATGTACATTTTATTGCTATATGGAGCAATATTCGTATACTAACATATACGCGCTATATATCTATATGCGCTTCTACACACATGAACAACATTTTGTAGGTGTTTATTATGTATCTGTGTCTATATGTTTGACAACGTATTTCTCGAAAATTAGACATTGGATGGAAATAATACTTTTTTTATATTTAACTATTTTTCAACTCATGGAACATAAGTGAAAACTTAAACTGTTACTAGAATGGTAACAGTTAAGTAAAGTTATAACTGCAACCCCAATAAAAACGAATTGCTTCCCCAGAACTGCTACCATAACAGAAAATGTTTATCCGGTAAATATAAGTATGTATGTTAAAAAACAGACGAAGGTAAAATTCCTGCCCCAAACGAAAATTGACCCCAAAAAAGTTACTTCTAAGCGTTTGGTGGACTAGTGCTGGTGTCGTTCATTACAGTTTTCTCAAATCTGGCCCGACGATTACGGCAGACGTTTATTGTCAGCAATTGCAAACCATGCTGGAAAAACTAGCTGTTAAACAACCGAGGCTGGTCAATCGCTCTACTCCACAGCTACTTCACGACAACGCTAGAGTACACACTACACAACAGACGGCTACCAAATTAGAAGAGCTTCAATTGAAATGTCTTAAACATCCACCATACTCCCCGGACCTTGCTCTATTGGAGCAAAAGATTACCATTTTTTTCGATATTCAAAAAACTGCTTGCAAGGGAAAAAATTCAACTCCAATGGGGCAGTGCAAATCGCCTTCAAAGATTTTATTGATTCCTGTCCGAATGGTTTTTTTAGTAAGGGGATCATGGAACTATCAATGAGATGGCAAAAGTACATAGATAACAATGTTTTATATGTTGATTAAATAAATTCGATTAGATAGATTAAAAAATATTCGACTTTTTGTTCCTCCCATACCAAAAAAAAAATATACCTATGGTTGTATAGCCATAATTAAAATATTGACTCCTTTATATATTTCTTTAATAGATTCCCCACATCGACATCGAAAATGCAGCATATGAGGCATAGGCTGCATTTTCTTAACAGCAAAACCTTCAAAACTGAGTGCACTTGACAAAGCATAAATAGGTTGATGCCGCTGCAATCAGCAATCTGGGGATTGCCCTATACAATAAGAATAATGAAATATTTGAATTGGTGGAATCAAAAAAGTTAACAACCAACGAACTTTGTGGATTCCACCTATCGTTGATTCCATTTTTCCTTTCATATCGTTATTACAGTCATCGCCTCTCTTAGCTTTAAACACTAAAGAGTGTCATCTGCATATAATTTTACATAAATCTGTTTTACATACATTTGTCGCAAAATAAGGAAGATCATTAATATAAATTTGGAAAAGCTATGACTCTAATATTGAACCTTGGGGCACGCCCATAGATAGATGCTAGAGCTCATTAATGGCATCTCTTTAAATTCTAGCAGAAAATATGATTGTGTCAGACTCTATAATTTTTTAAGTGTTACAAAGCAAACTCAGTGGAATGCCTTTGTTAGGTCACAAAAATGCCGATTGAATCTTGCTATCAAATTCTATATAATTTTTGAATATCTCCACTTGAATTTTCACCTAAATGCATTATAGGTAGAGTTCAAATCAATTGAGGTTTGATAGTCTAACGTGCAGCTGTGTTGATAAATATTTATTTTTCGATAAAAAGAGATGATGTCCATTGAAATCCAAGCATAAAAATATAACACAGATAAAATTTCTCCGCATATGATATTAAAGTAAGGACAGTGACATATCATGCTGAGAAAGTATTTTTGTTGTTACAAAAATAAGTGAATAAGTAAAATAATGTGAATTAACTTTACCAAATAACAAAGACTCTAAAAAACATATAAATTTATTGATAAACTAGCTGTGCCCGCGACTTCGTCTGCGTGGGAAGTATTTTGGTAGAATTCTTTTTTCCCATTAATGGAGTCGAATCGAATAAGATCAATGGGCCATAACCTACTACGCAGGCTTAATGCGGATCGGTGGGTGTTAACGTTGCTAATGCAGCCAGGACTAACGGCTAAACTTGCATTGTGCCAGTGTTATGCACAGTGCTCAAGATAATAATGTTTTGGTCACCCATCCTGTGAACGGTTCTTACAAATGTTATTTTTCTATCTTTTTTCACGCTTTTCACGCTCTGATTGTCGCATTATGATCGTATCTTTAAACGGTTTTGATCTTTTTAAATTATTATTATTTGTCTAGTTGTATGCACAATAAGCTATTTATTGTTCTATTTTCCAATTGATGATAAATTGCCTGGAAGAAATCGCTGGTATGAGTTTGTCGTTTGTATTTATTTATGTCAAATAAATATTCATGCATGTCCTTGTTGTGCAGTATTTACTTACTAATTTAACTGCAATTTAAACCGAATGCGTTAACCCACTACGCCATCGGACTTCTTATACCTAATCTATACTAATATTATAAAGAGGAAAATTTTGGTTGTTTGTTTGTTTGCATCGAATTTACTCCAAAACTACGGGATCGATAGTTTCGGAACGATTCCGACCTACGGGAAGCTACATCAGACGCGGATGTCATGGGCTATAATTTTGCGGCAAAGTCGCGGGAAAACAGCTAGTTCCTTACACCCTGTGAAAACTCTGCAGTACGCCTGTGAAGTATGAAGGCAACACGGGTTGGCGATAATTGAAACTACTTTAACGATCTCTATTGTGCAAAGTGCGAGCTCTTTCAGAAACCAAGCGCATTTCTCTATCAAAGGAAGTTTCATACACATACTATACTGCATGTATGGTACGATCATCAGTTAGACGCGCTATGTGATCTTCAGAAGTTTTCTAAGATCAAACGCTTGTTGTATGAGTTCTCCGAGAGCTCAAGAGATTGTCCCTGACGGTAAATGCTTCAGATTCAGCTTTATAGTGCATGAGCCTCGCGATGGGTAGTTAAATACGCTTCGCGTTTTTCAGCTGTCTCCCGAGACCGAGCGCTTTCTGTCCGATCTCTTTCTTTGTTAATAAAAGTCGGTCGGTACATGTCTGACGGAAAATACGTGGAGTTTTATTTATTGATATTAAAAATATACGTATTTCAATTTCGACTTTGCACACTCGAAGGAAATCGTCTTCTAACGCATACTTCCGAGAGGTGCTTGACTGAGCTTCCGTTAGATTTGAACGGCCCTCATCATCATCATCAACAATTTTAAGTCACCAACTGCAGGAGCTCAGGCCTTCCTTATGGATGGTTAAGGAGGGTGGGCCACGACCCCCATGCTAGCCCATTGCGGATTGGAGGATATTAATGACTGCAAATACAACCGGACTAATTGTTTGACGTGCCTACCGAAACTCGGAGTAGCTTCAGATCACCCATCCTGTGACCGACCTTTGCGAAAGTTGCTTAACAACTACAATCGCGGCCATGGCGCTTATTCACTACGCCACCGAGCTACTCTGAACCGACCCTCAGACTGGCGTAATATTATATGAGTGTTGTGACCTACGAATAAACCAGTGCTTCCACCGAAGACTGAAAATACCAACTTTGAAGTAGGTACCTACAGCAATTTGTGTGTTAAAAAACAAAAGAGTATTAACATAAAATATAGTAATAAGAGGAAAAAATACATATAACTCGAGTTGTCTTTACGTTCTTAACTTCATTTGACGTGAATCTAAGTTTTTTTAACGTCGTGGAAAAGCTTCTGACACTATCCCTGTTATCTGGCAAGTATCAGGGGATGAGTAGGATTCAACCCAACAGTGAACTGCCCAGTGAGTCCCCAGAGGCCTACCCTCCAAAACCCCAACCCCCAAGCCACAAGCTATGGCCGAGTCACCAGGACACTCAAGTATTGGAGCATTGGTCCCCTCGCGGTTGGAAAATTGGAGAGGCTCGGGTAAATCGAAAGCCTCTTCCAGACAGACGAAACCATGCCAACCACCTCCCCTGGCCTCGACGATGTGTACCTAATCTGATAAAAATATGCATTCACTGTAAACTACTTGATGCTTAATTGCATCATCGGTAGGCTCTTTACGCTTGTTCTCCTACTCGCGTGATTGTGACATACCACATGCCCATTATAAGCTGAACTCTATTTAATATGATTAGTCATTATAAATGAGGTCAACTTACTTTGGAGTATCCAAATGTTGGAATCTTATTTTTTTATTTTTCATCATACAAATTAACATTTTATAGACAATATTAATTCGTAGTTCGTTGGCGCTACGCATTAGTGCCGCTGCGCACGATCGTTATTCCTAAAAAATTTTGGCAAGAATTGTTCACGGGATGGGTGACCATAAATTATTAATTTTATACAAAGACCTGAGGCTCTGCAGTTTGGCTGTGAAAGAGTTAATGATGATGATCAATATATCAAAGCCGAAAATTAATTAAAACAGTTAATATTTCGTAGCAATTTTGGCAAACACGTCACTTCAAATTGACATAACTTTTTCATTTATCAACCGATTGAAATAAATCTTACACTAAATGTTAACGGAACTGCATTTAAATCGGTTCAGCTGTTTCTGAGATTTTCGTGCTCAAACGCACAGACAAATAGATAAACAGACAAAAAATTTAATAATCATTGTTTTGTGTTCTATTACGCTTTTAAATGTCCCTCATAACAGTTTTTTTCATATATCTTCAATGTCCAGAGATCGATCAGTTACGTTCTTATTATAGTATAGATATTTCAAAGAAATAATAACAATCATGTTGAAATAACTTGTTAATATGCTGTTTTTTAATACGGTAGTATTGATAGGTTAATTGATATTTGTAAGACGGTCTTCAGATTCAGACAGTCAGTAGTACATTTGGAGGTACGTCGCTATCTGTGTACATATTGTACCAAGAGGTTCCGGTAATAGTGTAGCGAACCATGCAGCCACTCGCAGCAACACGTGCTTCATGAGCCAAGCTGCCAACAGCACGAAGAACAACTTCACACCTATGTGGATGTACAGCAATCTGAGGACCAATGTAACAATCAGTCTCATACAAAGTAAAGCCTGAAATACTCTTTTACTTAAGCGATTTTGGGTAAATATTTAACATTCTGCAATTATCAATTACATATTTTTTTATAGCAGATTCATTAAACTAATAATTTACTTTAACAATAGCAATGCATACGTTAGCTACCAGTCTATTAGCATAGTGAAATATACAAACATATTACTTTTGTAAACGTTTCTTGGCTGCCGGAGTGCCTGTTCCTTTAACTCCGATCAAGTGTTTTCCGATACCTCTTGTATAGATTTTGTAATACTCCTTCCAGCTATAAGTATAAATAAAACATGTCAAATAATCTATCCTGAGAACTAAACAATATAATTATGTAGTTCCCTTTTTAAAAAATCAAATATACTAAATCTGACAATCAAGTCAAAACACCATTCAAAAACATATAGTTAGTAATCTCTGATTCGTAGGCAACGCACTAATTGTACTATTTTGCTGTGTTGATTTTATTAAGGAACGCAACTACTGATTTGTAATTTACTCTTCATAAAATAGATCGTAAACAAATACGTAACTTATGCAATCATTCAATCCAAAATCAAATAGTAAAAAATGCTTTATAGTTGGGGCGTTGTTTGCACGCTTCTTTATTCTACTACAGTTAACTACAGTTAAGTTACTACGAGTATAATTAAGATTATGTATGTAGTCTGATTGGCAGCTGCAGTGTATATGAAAGACTTACAATTAAATGCGAAGAAAACAAAGATAATTATATATAATAACAAAGAACAGGCGATACCAGAACGATAGTAAGGGTTGTTATTCCAGAAGGGGAGCGTATGCGGAATATTTTTTAAATGGAGCGCAGAGAAAACTGATGAAAAGCAAAAATTTTGGAAAACAATCTCGCTTTACATAATAAATAGTGAGCTGGGTATGTCAGAGAGAACATGAAAGTAAACAAGCAAATAAGTTCAGAGATGATGCGATCTTTACGCAGACTGTGCTGTTAGATATAAGAACCCTGTCTGAAGAAAATGTATAAAAAGAGTAATTAAAGGAAGGGACAAAAGGAAGCAACAAACGTGAGTAGAGATCGTTTATTTTGTCAGCCAGTTCTCTCTACCTACCCTAACAAAGATTTGACGTGAAGATTGATGACCATCTCTAGATAGATTAGGAGTAGTTACTACGTCTTAGCCAAAAATAATTTCCGATTGGAAGTGACATTTCTTACCATATAGAGTTTGGGTCTATATTGTAGATGATAGCGTCTGCTGGTGAGAGGCGCGCGCGTAGCCTACGGATATTGTTGGTGGTGAACCAATACTCATTCGTGGTAAAGTGGCTTACAGATGATCTTACATTCATCAAACGTTGACTGATAGTAATCAAGTTCGGCCTGAAATTAAATATCGAGTAGTTTAATATTTAATGTACACACGGCTGCGAGTCAGGTTGCCACAATATGTCAAACTTTTCCAGTTGATTTTGAGCGCTACACTTAAGATATTAAAGTTTAATCAAGTGGAGAAATTGGACAGATTTGTATAACCTGCTATGCTGATACTACCTAAATAGACTAAATCGATAATTTTAACATAACATAATTGTATGCTGAAAATTTTCGAGTAAGCTGTATAATTATAACAAAACCACCATTTTGTTATTTTCTATTCATTTGATGTAAGCTTTACTGGCGCGAAGATCTACGCCCTTGATAGTACATTTGTACTCCTTTTTCTTTAATTTTGTCCATGTTCTTTCAGCTAGGGTGACGGTTGAAAATGAGCGCTACACCCGTATATCGGCAATTTCAGTGCAATGAGCCAGTGCTCTCCGTCTCTCTGCTACACACAGATACAAAACTCTGATCCTAGTTAATTTATTTCTATTATGTTTTTATTTTATTTTTTACTCTCTGTATAGTTGTGCATTGTATTTTGAATAAATAAATTATCGATCTATCATTTCATTTCAGTGGTTATTTGGCAGATACCCATAGTAATGCAGAGTCAATTTATTTATCTTTCAATTAATTTGTGTTGTCTAGCTTTTATTACAGATGAAATAGTTGTAAATTTCCCATTGAAAATATTATACTTTGCATTCGTGTGATCCATTATGGATTTCTGTAGTGTAATATGGAACCCTTATTATCATATTCATATTAATAGAATAGAATAGCTTCAAAGAATTACGTGAAGTCACTTAATTATCGACAAATATCACTAACGTTTCCTATGAATACTCATTCAAAAACACAACTTACCATTTCTCCAGAATAAACGAAAAATATTCGCTATAATATCACTAACTTAATTGGCTCTCCAACTCTCCTAAGTCGAATCTGTTTCGTATCCCGGGTCCGACTTCCAGTGCGCTCTTTTCGTAAACTTTTACTATTCGCTCCCCCAAATCTAAATAAGCTTTACACTAAAATTTGGTTTATAATACCAACATGTATAAGATAATTTTTTTTGATGTAGATCCTTTTAATATCTCCCTTAGTAAATTAAAGAAAACTTTAGTGCAACAAATGGTTATAAATTAACATTTTTTTTATTTAGAATCAAAAAATAATAATTTAAACCTGTGCTTTCAACTATATAAAAAAACCTCATTTGTAATCAATTATTATCGGTGCAATTGTTTAATAAAACATAGACTTGTGTTTGTTTTTGACTTCCTAGTCAAAAGTTTATCTTCCATTCAAGTAATATCCTATTAATATTATAAATGTGAATGTTTCTTTGTTTGTATGTTTGTCGGTCAATTACGCCGAAACTAATGAACGGATTTTGATGAAATTTTGTATACAGATGTATTAGCTGACTTAGATAAACGGATACTTTTTATCCAACTAAACATTTCCCTAGAAATCACGCGGGCGAATCCGCTGGGGAAAGCTAGCGTTTTTATGTTTATGTAAACTATTTATAACGTCTCTCCATCAAATATTATGTTAGTAAAACGTTAAGTCTTAGGTAGTTATATAAATAAGTGTATTTTAAGTAACATAATTGAATCAGTCACTAGAGAAACACCTCATATCCACTAAACCTAATTTTTGGAAAACAATAAAAAACTGTATAACCAAAATATTTTATACAGTACAAAGATTATATTTTAATGTATGGTAAAATAATGGTATACATACTGTAAGAGTATTATAAGAATATAACATTTTGTTTTTGTATTATGATTTTTTAAGTAGCTGGAGATGGGTTGTTACTCAAATGACCGATGAAATATGGGGTCAATAGGTTTGAAATAAGTGTTATAAACATACAGTAAGTGGTTAAAAACTTATGTTTAATGTTGATATGATAAAATAAACACCCACATACAATTTTGTTACAACTTTTCTGTTTCATCCATGTCAACTATTGGCCTCGGCTGGGGTGTAGTCTTTCAGCTTCCTGAGGTCATCGCGTTTTGCCCTTTTTACGTTTTAAAGTAGTAGAATCTGTATTTTTACTTTCATTATAACTCATTTTCACTCAAAATACAAAACAATAACAGAAGAGTCATCATTAAGAACAATATTTGAACGTCAAAAGTTGTTTTAGGTTAGTTCCACTAAGGGGAACAGTGCTGTCACTAGCTGACAGCTACCCACTTCAAGTCATTTGAGAACACTTTCGAGGAAATTCAAGGAAACCAATTTTTGAACATTTACTATCATCATGGAAACTTACTGGTGATGAGGTGTTTTAAATGTATTGGATTTGGCTTGCCTAAATGAACTACTTTGAATGTCTAACTCAATTACGATAAAAAATGGATATGAGGTATTTCTCAAATGACCGATTCAATTATGTAACTGTTGTTGCCACATTAAAAAAATGCCTATCAACTTAAGCTAGTGTTAAATGAATGAAATACAGTATGCTTCCTCTCACCTTTTTCGTCCATTGCTGAAAATTTTTAATAGGAACTCGGCCACGTACATTGGAATTACTTCTAAGAAAATTTCAGCTGCCTTCAGCGCGTATCTGTAAAATATAAAAATAAAAATATTCTGTGTGATTTATTAAAGTACTTATTCATTCACATTCATCAACTTTATGCTTTATTTATATTCGAATCTTAACTATGGTTGCCAACAGAATTCCGTTTTTACTTTCATAACATTGTTTATTGTTATCGTTAAGATAGTCATTTTTTTCAAATATCTTTTATCTTAAGCATTATCTTAGGAAAGGATGGCCTTTCCTCTATATCCTTTCATTGATAAGAATTGATAGGAAAAAACTAAAGAACTAACCAAGAAATGTTAAAAGAAATTATAAAAAATATTTCGTTTGTTTTTCGTAATTATTATAAAACAATGCTTTGTGGATAAAAGGTGAAGCAACGTTTACATGATGAAATATAATAACTGTAAAAAAAACTTGTTAAAAATTGACTAGAATACCTTCGTATCTGCTTCATATATACTCTAACAACTTATGGTGTGATTTTTTAATAGTAACTTTAAATTTATTTAATTCTAATTGTTACTTAATTAATCAAATTCTTACTTATTTCCTAGCCGTATGACAGATGGGTACAATACGATGTTAAGAGAGGGATTTTCCCTGGTTTCTTGTAGCGCACCTTCGTGTATATCGCCCCAGGTGGTGGGGTTCTCTCCGGTACTACAGTTGTACACTCGGACCTCGGACAAGCTGCAGTAAATTATTATATAATTTTAATTAAAATGCACTTTACAGCCCTCCAGTTTGGTACCCTTCGAAACTTTGTGTTGGTTGGTTTTCTTTTTATTCGAGGTTAAAGAAAGGAGGAACAAGAATTGTTCCGTGAAATGGATATTATATTTAAAAATAGCGCTGCCGTGACTCATTGAGTTTTTTTCAAATCTCACAAATTTTAACATTGAGCTCTAATAGGCCTGATAAAGATACTGAAAGATACTGACCCAACCATTCCCGCCTAAGTGTGGACGTGGATCTTAAAAATTTGCTAAGGGAAATACGAGGGAAATCCCGCGTTTATTAACACGCTATCAATTTCAGTTTTTTTCAGTTCAGCTGGTTTCTTTAAAAATCGACTTTATATACTTATCAACAGCAGTCTCCCAAGCAGCAGCTATGAGTGTGTTGACGCAGATGTCGACGGGCAATAAATCGGCGCGGATATCATTATGGGCGACCATCACACGCATCAGTCCGATGGCACCAGCCGCTGACACGCCCATCGGTCCATTAAACCCCTGTACCCACCCCGGATACGGATCCCGATAAGATGTCGTCACTGAAAGTTCATCAAAATCGAATAGGGGGAATGAGCCATATTGTCCATAACTCACCATGTAGGCCTAGTGCAGAATGGTAGGTGTTAACGACACAGATGCAGCCAAGACAAACAGTTTAGGGGCCGTCCATTGATCACGTGATATTTTTTGACCCCTCCTCCCCCTACATGGTGAGATGATACATGGTGAGGTTTAAGACTACCCCCTCCCTCCTTCAACCAAATCTCATGTATTTAAAAAAAAAACAAAAAATCTTCATTTTTGACGTCGCTTTTCGATTTAATAATCGCGCGTCGAGGAAAAAATAAATACACGTGATATATTACTACAACCATTGTGATCTTTCGTGATTTTTGACGAATCCCTCCCTCCCCTCCCCCCCATTCGAGCCTCACGTGATTAATAGACGGCCCCTTAACGTGCATTCCGAAGTACATACGAAAGTGCTCGGATAAATATTTTTTTTGTTATAGATCCTACGTCCGGACTTTGCGAAAGTTCCGTAACTTCTGCGCTACCGACTACGCTATCGTATCGTGCTTCTCGTTGACGCATTAGCCAGCGCGTTAAGTGTACATTGTCTGCATTAATAATGCTACATTAATATTTATCTTATAAATAAATACATAACATTTTCATACTACTTCAAGCACAATGAAACTTCAAATATTTGGTATTTTAAATATTTTTTAATATACAATTCAAAAGATATAAATAGGAATAATAAATAATTCATAAATGCCAAAGACAAAAATAAACGCAAAGGTCATGATCGTCAACGTCAATTTTTGACATGAATATTTAAATAAAAAAAAATACAATTAAAGATAGTCATTAATTAATTTTACATTAATTTTAAATTTAATGACAATCTTTTGTCTTATATTCTGGATTTTAAATATTTCAGTAGTAGCTGTAACCTGCAGCTTTCCCCACGTGGTCCGAGGGTACTGTATGCACATTGGCCTGTTGTACTGGAGTCTGAAGCAAATCTTAATTAAGAATCCGCCTTTATATCATCATCATCATTAACTTATCAACATCCCCATTGCTGGGGCATAGGCCTGCCAGTTGATGGAACCAATTATGGAGATCTACTAGTTTTTCTGTGGATAACGTGCATGTCTATATAGAATAGTTCAGTTGCTCTTCGATCTATTTTAGTGCGCAGTAGAATCGACACGCCTTGCAAAAAATACAAACTAATGTTTTTTTAAATAGTCCTTTTTGTTGAAAACGGGCGCTTATCATTTAATAAACTACAGAAATACTCAGACCAACTTCAATGTGTCTTGTAAATTTAACCGCTTTAAAGATATGTACCTATTATTTTTTTACTTTTTAAAGTTTGAAGTTGATTAAATTTTTTTAAAAATGATTTTTAGATAAAACTTTTCCTACCATTAGCAGCTCATTTCGAGTATTGTTTTTCCTTTTAGTCATTCATAATTATCGGGAGTTTATTAAATTTTTAATAATAAATTAACGCCCCTCGATTCAATATAAAGATATCTCGTGAAATGTAATTCTCCATTAAAATATATTATTTAAAAAACAGGCAAGAGCAAGTCTCCATAAGAAACGCGATAAAATCACGTTTGTTGTTTACAAAGGATTTTTTCTGTGAAATTTTTGAGTTACATACATTTGGTATATTATTTACTCATCAACTTATAAAGTCACTTAAGTTAGATAGTTTTTTTTTCTTATGAGTACATTATACTAAAATATTCTCTAGTTTTTGAATCGTTTTTCATTGCTGCTCAACTCCTATTAGTCAAAGCGTGATATATAGCTCCTCGATAAATGGACTATTCACACAAAAACAATTAATTCGAACCAGTAATTCCTAAGACTATTAAGTTCACAAATAAACAAACTCTTCAGCTTAATTATTAGTATAGACATAGAGAAATAAGTACATTTTAGCTTTCATTAAAATTAGAATTTTTGTTTTCATTATATTAGAATTTTTGTGCTTATTATTAACAAAGGTTAAAATGATAGTTATTTTTATTTTACTATAATTAAGCTTCCTTAATGAAAAGTAAAACATTAATATATCGCTGCCATATCGTTTAAGTAAAATTTTGTTGACAAATAATTTAATAATATATTATTCTCTTTTAGGTGCATGGATCTGATATCATCTGTCATTTGTTGGCAGCAAACAAATAGAGTAACAGTTCCTTCTAATATTCTAGAACCTACACAGACCATTACCTTACCGGATTCTTCAAAACCCGGAACAAAACAATATGCTTTTGAATCAGGTGGATTCAAAAGCATATTGTTTTGTTCCGGGTTGTGACTCATCACAGCGACTGACAGTTCCCACATGGCTTCGGATAAAATTGTTTGTCGATTTTAACTTTTATGTACCAAAAACCAGTAAGCTGTGTAGTTCTCATTTATATTATAATAATTGGGCTGAATGGTTGTCTATCATGCAACTTATTCATACATTTTTTGCATTATCTGTTAAAGAAAGACATCTTGAAGACATTGTGCACTTTTGGATAGGTCTGTCTAAACTTCAGTTAAAAACAAATTCTATCCTGGGTTATCTGACATGCGATGCGTCTAAGATGCGTCCGTGGTAATGGGGAGTTAGGGCTTGTTGCTTATTTAATTAAACTAAGAACTTGGATACTGATGAGAGAATATCAACTTTATTAAATATATCTCGTTCAACGTTAACAAAATGATTAGGAGCAGCTTGTGAATTACTAAATGCTGCATTTGTTTCTCATAATTCATTGACTGCCCGAATACCAGCCTCCAGCTGAGGAGAAACTGTATGAGCAGTGTAATTTATTCATTAACTGATTTTGTAAAGTCTATTCTTATAAATAAGGGTATTTACTGTCTTTTGCTTGTACAATTGTATTTTCAAATTAAAGGTAAATATGTGTAAATCTACAATTTCTTTATTTAACCATCTCTGTTTCTTATTTCTAACATAAATAAATTAATATGATGATAAGGTAATTAAAGTATTTTACAAAAAAAGTACTTTTTCGTTACATCGTTTATGGAATACTACTCATGGTTATATATATATACAATGTTAAACTTTCCCATGAAAATATTACAATAGTTACCTTCCTAAAGATATGAAATATTAAAAAATAATGTTTTTTATAACTGTAGATAATGTCCATTCAAAGCTAAAGTGCCCATACAAACTGAACAATTCCCTTTCTAACCTATTACGTGACCTACAGTAGTGAATCATATCTTATATAGAAATTTATTCAGTTCATATCTCAAAATCTTATATATCCTCCAATAGATTTTTTATCATCTTCTGGAGCTAGATCAAAATCCTGTCTTCATCATAATCTTGCGAAATATCCATAAAACTATCGAATAGCTTTTGCGGCCGCACCTTCGCACTACACTCCTTCAATTATCTCACTAAACTTAATCAAGTAATTGTTTCAATCAACTAATCAACTAATATACATATTTAACAAATGCTTGGCCACATCAAGAAATCATACGATCAGCCGCCCATATCGTTAAATGCAAATTATTCATTGATGACCTGACCAGGTCACATCATGAAATATGACCATTTCAGGTAATGGCCAGCCGCAACATGATTGGTCAATTCTACGATCTGGCCACGACATATACAAAGACTTCAGAAACCATGCCCCTCCCATGCTTACCTTCACGTGAACCACATATAAACACACACCACCTATGAAAATGTTGTTTCTACCTGTCGTAGGCCTGCAGATTGCCACTGGATATCCTCTATGCCCATGCACTTTGACGGCAGCCTCCGCTAATGTCTTCGTGAAAGTGTATGTATTCGGTTTTGGCGAAATATATCTGGCAAGAGGAGCAAACTTGTAATGAGAAAATATAACTATTAAATATCACACATATTTAAACTCGTATGTTAATTGAACATTAAATATAAACTATTTTACTAAATTGTTAATAGTTACTGTGTAATAGTTGTTAATAAAATGGTTGTTAGTTCATTACGCCATATGGTGGCAGCGATGTTGAACAATTACTGTTTTTTTTTTCAGTAGTGCGGTCATTATAAAATAAAAATAGTAATGTGGAACTCGTATGACCGTCGGTGGAATTGCGTTGGGATGGCAGCTCCAGCAGCCAGGATGTATGGAAACGTTGTCAAATGCAAATCAACTTACTCCTTAAGGCATCGGGAATATACAAGGAAAGAGGAGACGTTTAAGCAAGTCTATAAATTAATTTAAAAAGGTCGGACGGCTTTAATGTTTATAAGACTCTTTTGAATTGTTTGTCTCATTTTTTAATCGGTTAAGTCAATGTACTATTTTAGAGAATCTTACATTAATTTGTCTTTATCCAATTACCTCTTGACTTCAGCCTGCGTCATTTGTTCGCTGTTGATCGATTCCTCGATCATGACTTCTAGTGGGCGCGGGAGTGGGTAGACGATCTCCTCTACCAGAGTGCGCTCCGCAGCGCAATACCCAGTGGACACGTGAATGAAGCCCTGTACCAGTATGTTTATCTTCTATGTATGGTTTTATTCTAAAAAATCCTCTTTTCATTGACATAAATGAGAATACTATGTTTCTCATTATTATTTAAAAATAACGTACCCAAATTTGAAGTCTATAAATTTTATTTATAGAATGCCAAGTTTTTATCCGGCTATAAAGATATAAAACAACGCAGGTATCTCAACAACACAAGCAAAAGCCAATAAAAAAAAGTTCATTATTCGAGATTGTCCTGATTATGCATTCAATATGACTGGTTGTTAGAATCTGAAGTTCCGCGCAACTAAACGATTCTGATTGCTTTGGCTTGATTAACAAGACTCCTTGAACTTACATATATATGAGAGAGAAGTGCGTACTTTGATTAATGTAGTATAGTATTATATAAACCATTATATTATATTAGACCATACCCACTCTGAAGAAATAGGTCTGAAGTTAATTTGTAATTACAATAATAATTGGGAACTCTTCATTGGTATATAAATTAAGTTTTGGCCCTATTACGTCATCCGTTTACGAATACTCGCCTACTAAACAAGTAAATCCAGAAGAAAATTGAAACCATGGGAAAATTGAACACCTTACTGCAAAAAAAATCCTTACTGTGCAAGGAAGGAAAGCTCATACCATTTTGAATGAAACGGAAAACATTGATGGGGAGCAGTGCTCCATTAAATCAATCATTTATAAGTCACATGGACTTTTTAAACATAGTCGGGAGTCGATTAAAGACGATTTTTTTTATAACACCTATTCCATTACTGGATAGGGCGCGGTGGTGCAGAGAGTGTGGGTTTTTGCTTTTTTTTCTTCTCCTATGTGTACCATTGGTTAGTGCATTTGATCAGCGATGGCGAAGATGAAGCGATATACGCAAAGATCAATAACGGGATGGGTGGTAATTTTTTTTATTTTACTGAGCTGTGTGGTGCGGGGTGGAGCAGGGTCTATAAAAAAATTACCCAGAATTCTCAAGTGGGCCCGAGAAAACATCCCAATGATGATTGGTGGTGCTAATCTCACCCAGAATTAAACTAGGCCCGCGTGAAGTTCCCAGTGAGTATTTGTGGTGCTATTAGGCATAGATATTACTAATGGATGAAACTAAAACACTTAAAATTCCTAACTGGGGCCGCGTGAAAATCCCAATGAGGATTGGTGGTGCTAATCCGTACTAAGCCAACGTGGTCGTCGTAAATCGTTCCACCAAAAAAATTTAACCACCCATCCGATTGCCGGCTTTTGCGATCGTCACTTAACCTCCGCAATCGCAGATCAAGCGCGTTAAACACTACAACATCGAGCTTTTCACTTGTTTATATAGGAAGGATATTGCCATTATTTTTGGCAATTTTAATATATTTTGATGACATAGTAAGATTGCGCAACTGAATCGCTGAATCGAAAACAGACAGATAATACTAGAAAATTTAAAAGAGACCATTAAGAAAAAGAGTGGAAGACAATTTACCCGATACCCGATCACTACAGCAGATTTGCAATGGTTGCCCTGCACACGCATGATTTCGAAAAACTTTACCCATTCTACAACCCAGTTTACCCATTCTACAACCCAGTTTACCCATTCTACAACCCAGTTTACCCATTCTACAACCCAGTTTACCCATTCTACAACCCAGTTTACCCATTCTACAACCCAAATCAAAAGTTACAAACATATTTTGCTATGGTTTTATTTCATAAAACCATAGCAAAATATAAATATAAAACCATAGCATAATTAGTTCATAAATATTATAAATCTATTCAGATCTTTAATGAATTATTTTGGAGCGAATCTATAAAAAAGAGGAAAAATTATTAACTTTTCCTTTTAAAAATAGATTTATTGTTTCATTTTATATAAAATCGTTTCACTCCACAAACTCTTGCACCTCCCCTTGTATTTCTGTTTCAAAAATTCCAAGTGTAGGTTAACAAGATAAGATTCGTATATTTTTCGTGAGAGATAATTACCTAGTATATAAGTATATAGTACTAGAGAATATAGTTTGTTATCGTACCGCCATCTTCGGTAACCGGTCACAAATATCCAACAAAGAAATGGTGGCTATAGTGTTGATCTTCACCGCCACATCTAGTTGCATATTCATATTGACTGTTGCAGCCAAGTGGAACACCACCGATACCTTCAAAAATTAACACCAAAATCAGTAAAAAAAATAATGTCGTTGGGCGTAGTGTAAACCGAATTGACTGGATGGAAAAAGGGGCCCAACGATTTTATTTTTTGTCTGATCAATGCTTTTGATGGCGAGAACCTGGGACCTACCGAATTATTTTTTAGATTTTACACAATTTAAACTTTTATTATTCTTTTCCTTTTAAGGTACAGAACCGTAAAAACTATATTTATGTTTGTCATTCACCCTAATAATCATTTAGCCCGCCCATTAATAATCCAAGATTTTTTTTTTAATTCAACTATAGAATGAGGAAGTATTTAAAAAAGACATTAGTTTCCGAAATCAAACTACCTATATGTCGCTACGGTATGTGCTTGATTTCTTCATGACAACCCTTCCGGTTTTCTTTCATGTTTAAAAGTAAATTAGTTTTCAAAACTCAGTAAACAACTCATATTCTATTTGTACTTTTTCGTATTTGTATTGATATCTAAGTTTCGAACTTTTCAAATTACAGTTTTTTAATGTGTTAGTTAAAATTAACGAAGATGACTGTTATTGGTCCATTCGTTTCCTGCAAAAATCAACTTTTGCTAGGGTCGCCATCTAGTAGGGTGCTTTTTGCGTAACAATGAGTAACAATGCGTAACAAATGCTTTCGTTTTTTTAAATACTTCCTCATTGCTACTAAGCTAGCTTCTCAAATCAGAGTGAGTATGTATTTAAAGATAATCAAGAGATTCTTACATTATGCAGATCCGCTATGGTTTTATCGGTGAGTCCAAGATCGAATTTCATAATATCGCCGGGTATAAAACTTAGTTTTTTCAGCTGGTCTGGATTATTTTTACGTAAAACTTCGAACACCTGTAGGAGAAAGAATGATCGTGAAAGGTTACATTAGATGCTAACCTCCTCAATTCAAAATATAAAGGTTAATTTAAAGGCTACTGATTAAATATACTTTCGGTAGATTATATATTCGGTAATTCGAATGACTAATATGTATTGTACAGCTCCGTTACCTATGGAAGAGTTAATAGATAATTTTATTAGTTCAATTAATGTTATTATTATGTTTTCATAATAACTTTTAAGTTGAATTATACAATAACCGACTCGTTAAGCATCTTCACGCCTACATCCTAGTAACTACGAGCTGAAATCTACCACATATGCCGTAAGCACTACTAATACTTATTTAGATATTTTTAGAGTTTGAACGCTTTTTGGAGTATTTTTGTGTGACCTTCCGAAGGCTTTTGATTGATTATGGCATGTTACACGACATATTGTTAAAGATGTTAGATATTAGAATATTTTGAGAGTATGAACTTCAATGATTAAGCGTCAATGAAAATAATGGTATCAGTTCAAAAGACAGTTCAATAAAATTTGGTATACCTCAAGGATCGACAACTGTTACGCTTAATTTATACCAATGCTGTATCTGTATGTACAATCTGGAGGATATGGCAGTACCATTAGCAACACAATCAATTTTAATAAAAAAAATATAATTTCTACAAAACAATTATGACAAATAAATAAACGAACTGATTTTAATTAATATTGTAACACCGTTATAGTAAATTATTACATAAATAATATAGAACAATCGCAGTCAAATACATTGCTTACTCTTATTTTCGATAGATGGCGCTGTACCAATGTGAAACGGTATATCTTCCTTTTGTGTAAAAGTACTAGTGTTAAGAAATTAATTTGTTAAAATAAGCTTATACCACTAACGTTGTAAGTGCGTACGTTTGCATCCTGTACTGGAACTTACGGACCACTAACACACAGTCGCGAAATAAGCATATTGTTGTATTGGTTAGTCCTGTATCGATTATTATAGATCGTAATAAGGTGTTTTGCGTTTCATTCTAACAATCACAAACTCCAGCTGTTATAATAATATATTTTTTTTACATCTAATAACCAGTAGACGTACTGCTTATTTATTTAGCTTTTATCGCAATACAACATAAGTTGTAAGCCTTACTTTTTGGTTGGTTTTCTAATAAAAATAAATAAATAATGAAAGTAACGATGGCTAAGAGAGCGTTTAGTAACAAGAAAAACACCTATTCAGTCAGTCCTAGGCAGTCTGCATACCCTGGAAAATTATTTCAGACCAGCCTAGAGCTTTTGTAGTGTTCAAAAAAGATAAAACTGGACTGAAATACGAGTACAACCGATTAAATAAGTACTGGGAATCATCAACGAAGAGACGGCTATTATGGCTACCGCGTAAAAAAATACTTCGATTTGGTTGATATTGGATTGCACTCAATGTGAAATGTGTATTGTTAAATCACATGTGTAATATATCGAGTTGAACCCAATGCAATTTAACGTTGAGTGCATTTTGATTAACTTCATTATCAATCAAATCGAAGTCAATTTTGTCACGCGGTAGGCCTTCTGCAAACCATAGAAAACAGACTAGGGAGAATGTATGGACACTTCATTCGATACGATGGCTTATTTAAAACCAGATTGTAAACAAAAATAATCAAATGACAAGTAAAACTATTATTGTGATACTATCGGGAATCATTTAGAAACGCAAGGAAAGTTACGATAATCGCGCTCAAATATCAAATCAACACTTGCTCAAAAACTAGGTTTACTAACAGCAAAAAAATAAAAGAAATAAATAAAAGCTATGTGTATAAGTTATTCCCTAGAAAAACATTGTCAAAAAACCCGCCAAGTGCCAGCAGCACTTGCGCTCTGGAGGTTCCGTACCGGAATCGAGATAAATTTTGTCATAATATGAATTATTTTACAATTTTCAAGTCTAAGATCTAAGAAAACTTTTTTAAATTTAGAGTTCCTATGTGACAACAACACATCAAGATAATTAAGACCACTTAGTTATATTAAAACACCTTAGTTCTCCCCCTTTTTTATAATAAAACAAAATTACTGATCAATTTCGTCACAGTTTTACTGGGATTATTTCAAAAATATACTCTTTGAAACAAAAAAAAGTACAATATAGAAAACCTATTCTTTTTTAAAGTTGCTTCTAATACCACGCAAACAAAGTTGCGGCAAAATTTGCAAGATTGAAATAATGTTACTTAAATAGTCTCTTAAATAAAACTTTGTTGGGAGTGTACGTACTGAGCAATCTCTGAGATTGTTGAGTCTAGTCTCCGGTGATTCGCCTCTCTTCATCCTCACCAAGAGATATAGTCGTCTGATGTCAGGGCATGTGGACAACAATCGTTCCACCAGAAGCTGAAATTTTACAAAATACATCAAATCTAAAGAGAATCATATGAACCATCACTCTGAACAACTTTCTTTCAAGCACCAATTAAATAGAATTTGATTGTTATTTTTATAGGACCTCTCTATACACCATATTATAAAAACACACACTTAGGGATCAAACTTCACGACCTGTCTTAATTACCACATAAGTCTTTTAAAAAGAACCCCCATGAAAAATAGGGGATGAAAGTTTGTATGAAACTGTCAATTTCAAAACCGTTCGAGCTGAGACTGCATGCATAAAGCTACTATGACTTAGGCATCCCCTAATTGTTAAGATACTTAATTTATTTGACATTCCTACTTACAATGATTTGACCTGCATGATTTAAACCTTTATTTTTAATTTAATATGCTTATTGTAAAAGACTTGCCGTGTGTAACCTTCTGAGTTATATGGCCAATAAATTATTTGATTTGATTTGATTTGACTAAGAAAGGATTTTGATAAATTCCACCCCTATGGGGATAAAATAAATGCTGCTGAAAGTGACTTTACCACGCGGACGAAGTCGCGGGCAAAAGCTAAAATAGGTATAAAGTGTTATATTATTATATGCCAGAACCTCGTGGGGTGGATTAGTAAAGTATACTGAACAACTTAATAATTATATTAGACCTTATATATAAAATACCTACTAAGTTAGTACCTACTACCCAATTTGTAACTCAATTTTTTAATAGGTTTTAAATTACAATGTTTATTGAATTTGGGATATATTTCAGAACAATTGATTTTATGTCATAATACTTTCTTCTGATCACATCGAAACCATCATCGGGCAATATTTTTGGAATTAGAATATATAGTATTATAATTGTAAAACTTACTTTGCCTATCAATCCAGTGGCTCCAGTGATGAAAACTTCTCTACCCGCGTAGAACTGTGGTATAATCGCTATATCGCTGGCATCCTTGCTGTCCACCTTATACGTCATGTTACCAAGCCACTGTTAACATAATACTGTACATTTAGTTCTTACGTTTAAAGTATTAAATTGTATGATAGTTGATTATTGTATTTACATACGTTTTTTCATTTTACTTTAATATATAGGTACATTTCGACAACGACTTTATTTATTATTTTATTTTTATTTAATACTTTATGCGCTAAAGTACAAAGGCAGACTTAATGCCTTAGGCATTCTCTGCCTGTCAACCTTTAGGTGATGTGGAGATTTTGGTATGGGCCTACCTTAAATATAAATTAAAGGTAGGCCCATACCAAAAGATACTATATGTGTAAGTATAAAATATATACTTACACATATAGTACTCAATGTAGACAAATACTGAGATATAAATACATAGATGAATAAATTATATAGATGTACAATATAACACACACATACATATACATATACATTAGACGTGAGATGACGATTTTCATGAATCTGGCTGTTTCAGTATAAAGTCGCGCAATTACATTCTGAAAACTAACCGATTGGGGGACATTCTGATGTCTGAGGGTAGTACGTTCCATAGAAGAATATCCTTAACGAAAAAGGAGGAGTGGATAACGTCAGAGTGATGAGCAGGGCAAACGAGTAGTCAATTTGTGGACGATTGAAGCGCAGTGTGACTAGTGCATAAGTACTGAAAGTGGGGGGTTTGATAGCTTGGTGCGTTAGGTGATTCTAACAAAGAAAACAAAGTGGTCAATGCCCGCACATCTCTACGCTTTCGTATAGGCATCCATTTTAAAAGAGAGCGATATGGGGATACATATTCGTCTTTACGGAGTTTAAAAATGAATCAAATGCAGTTATTTAGAATACGGTCAAGCTTATTGAAAGTTGTATTTATTATTGTAATAATACATATTATTTTGGTAATGACATGATTTATGTAAATGTCATTACTTCTGATAAAGAGCTGGTAAGTTTCTCACCTGTTCTTCTTGTCAGCTAAAAGACGTCCTGAACAAGTGGTAGGGGAAAAAAATTTTTTTTGGACGATTCAAAAGTGCTTGTAATAAGCCTACTTGAATAAAGATATTTTCATTTTATTTCCGCGTCGGAACTCTTATTCAAAAATCATTTCCGCGTCGGAACTCGTAATCATCGAATTTTCGCAGTATCCATCTTTCTTGTCTAAGTTGAATAACAAAAACGCTTGAAAATCGGTATTCAAATGTTTCACATTTTTAAAAGAAGAACATCATAGCAACCATGTGAAAAAGTTTCTTTCGATAACCTCAAACCATGAAGATTCTATGTCAGTTCAAGGAACCTATTACAATAATACGGCAATTGTATACTTTAACCCCTAATAGTAACCAACTTTAGGAGTGTTTTATATTGACCTAAAAGGTATGTGATACTACAATATAACTCAAATGATGTGTAGTTAACTTCGGTATCATTTTTGCTTTCGCATATAACTATTTCCATACTTATTTACATTAAAAGGATGACATAAATAAGGATTAAAAAATACAGATTACTATGAGGTAAGGAAACCATTTTTTACCTCAACATTGTAACGGTGTGCCATGCCACCGTTTGTTTTCCTAGGTTTCAGTATGCAAACTTTTTGTTTTTGAAATTCAACATCATTTCATTTTATTATTCGTCTTTCGTAATTTAAAATTTTGACTAATCAATTATACTCTTTATGGATGTCAGTTCGTAAGAAATTCTCCTATGCACAAGATGAAATTATAATACAATACAATATTAATGGTATAAATTTTACTATGTAATTTTAAAATAATTCATTTATTGTGATAAATAATGTGATATGGTGAAACAAATTATATAACATATGTAACTACTAAATTGTAATATGTATTTTGGACGATCCAAAAGTTAACTAGAAGCCCGACAAGGGGTATGTATTCGTTTATTTGATAAGTATGTATTAGTTAAGTAACTTACGAACTGTTTTTATAAATTTATTTTTGTTTGTTACAGTTTTTCTTATTACCCTTATTTAACTAATAAATATATACTCAAGCTAAGCAGCCTTATTAATTGACCCAAGCACCGAACCCGTAACACTGGCGCCCAACGTGGTTGAAAAATAGGCTGACTACTGCAATAGAAGACCATAGTGCACACTTTACGACCAACACCACAAACACATTTACTCACATAATCAGACAATAGACGTTCAGCGTTACTTTGGCTGGTCACAAATGTGATCGGTTCTGATGCCATTGTATCGAGGAACATACAAACACGTACTCAACATAGTGTTATAAAACAGGAAAATTTTAATAGTAAATTTAATTTAGATTCCGTATATATAAAGGTACGTAAGCTATTTTTATTTTTTTTCAAAAATTTTATGAGATTTCTTTTTGACGAATAATATTATTTTTAATATTTAAAAAATAGAATATTGTAATTTATTTTCCGTTTACGATTTGACATTCATTTCTTTTATAATAATCAATTTTAATCATGGTTATATCGTACTTGAATAAACCAGAAATTATTTATGAACTGAAATTACGAAACGCGAATTTTGAATCCACCCAAACGGCTCAAGAATTGCGTGAAATTTTATTACCAATGATAGGAGACCCTACTAACTATCCTCCTTTATCATTTAGTCCGATCGAATTCAATATTAATGTGAGTGAAATCAATAAATGTTTAGATTTGATTTCAATCACATTATCATCTTATCCAACTAGGAAAAATAAGATTAAACCCTACCTAATTCATATCAGAAATAGATTGTCTCTAATAGAATTGACAACAGAAAATACAAACGAGGATATCACCACAATAAAAAATTTATTTGATCGTTTACAACAATACGAAACAAATTATCAAAATCTAGAATTTACTTCTGTACAACAGACTAGTGCTGTACAACCTTTTTTAGAAAACCTTACCCATACTTTACAAAGTTTAACGAATAACAAATCAAATTTAGAAATTAAAAAATTTAACTATTCCGGCGATGGCTGTCCTCGAGATTTTTTACAAAAGGTGAAAGAATTTGCAACAGCTAGAAATATCTATTCCAGATTGGGATACATTTAAAATTAAATTTTTAAAATATTTTGAAATTACCGATTACGATTAAAAACTAAAAAAATTTATTGATTCTCGTAAACAAAAACACAATTAACGTATTATTATTTATTTTGCTACAATGGAATCCTTATTTTCTAAACTACATGAACCTCTTACCGAGAAACAAAAAATTGAAATTTTACGAAGGAATTTGAAACCTGAATATGGTCAACGACTTTTACCACAAGATTTACAATCTATCAATACTTTAATTGAATCTTGTAAGTGGTATGAAAACTGCTTACAGGTTTCAACTGACGAATCACTGAATTTTTCTGATATTTTACCAAATTATAATAAACCCAATAAAAACTTACATAATTTTTACGATTTACCCCCCAATACTTCTAACAATAATTCCGCTCAAGTTTATGCTGTTTCTTCGAAATCTATTACTACGAAACCTGTTATTGAACAACAAACAATTACTTGTCCTCGTTGTCGTAACAACGATCACACTCTTTCTAATTGTACTAGCACAAAGAAGGTTTGTTTACGCTGCGGTAAACAAGATGTGATTTTTACTAATTGCCCAATATGCAAAAATTCAAAAATCTAATTAAGCAGGAACGTGGAAATTCTTATTTTGATCAAACCGATTGGAACAATTGGCTCAATACTATTAAAATTTATTTTAAATCTTACAAAACTTCTACTTTCCTTTTTAATAATAATACAGATACAGAACGTCCATATATAAAAATAAAAGTGAACAATTTGATTTTAAATGGTTTATTAGATAGTGGAAGTGCTATGCTCATAAGCAGCTTTTACAATATGGTTTTACAATTCATTATAACAATATTATTCAAGGTACCGTTGCAAACGGTGAACGCATACATTCTATTGGAACAATAAAACTACCAGTATTATATAAAAACAAATTTTCTAATGTTACTGCACATATAATACCAAATATTACTGAATCTTTAATATTAGGTATTGATTTCTGGAAGACATTCAATTTAGCTCCTCATTTATTTTCTGATATTACTATACATAAACATGAAAATTTACCTACCTTTCTAATTAATACTGATTCTATACATTTAAATACTTTTAACAATCTTACTGAATCTCAACAAGCTATAGCAGATACTATGATTCAAAGGTTTAATAATATTTCTACTGATATCTTACCATTAGGCAAAACACATTTGGCTGAACATTATATAGACACAGGCGATCACGCTCCTATACGACAGAAGTGTTATCGCTTGTCTCCAGAAAAACAGAAGGCACTAAGTAACGAAGTAGACAAGATGTTGGAACTTGATGTCATTAAACCATGTGAAAGTCCATGGCTTAACCCTGTGATAATTACACCAAAAAAAGATGGCACATGGCGTTTTTGTGTTGATAGCCGTAAATTAAATTCTATAACTAGGAAAGATGCCTACAAATTACCTTACATTTCCGATATTATCGATAACCTTAAGGATGCTAAATATTTATCTTCGATTGATATTGCTAAGGCCTTTTGGGAAATTCCTTTACGTTTAGAGGATCGTCCAAAGACTTCCTTTCACGTTCCTGGCCGCGGAACATACCAATTTAAGGTCATGCCCTTCGGATTGACCAATGCTCCAGCTACTCAACAACGATTTATTGATAATTTACTTTCAAATGATTTTGACAATACTGTCTTTTGTTACCTTGATGACATTGTCCTCGCCACAAAAACGTTCGAGGAACACATTAATTTATTGAATAAAATTCATACTAAGTTACTTTCTGCTAATATTACCGTTAATTATCGTAAATGCGCATTTTTCCGTAGTGAATTGAAATATCTAGGTTATGTTATCAATGAAAAAGGGTTACAAACTGATCCAGATAAAATTAAGGCAATTTTAGATATACAAACACCCAAGACTGCAAAAGATGTAAAGAAATTTTTAGGTACAGCGAGCTGGTATAGACGTTTTATACCAAATCTAAGTACTTTAGCTGCTCCACTAAATAATCTTACGTCAACAAGTAAAAAAGCACCTCCTTTTA